ACAGCGTGGACGACATTCACGGCAGATCGAACAAGAGCGTCTGGGGTAGATTGCGAGCACGAAGGACTGCAAGGCTTCGCAGCACGGTGATGCACACGGGGCCCTGCAACGAGTCGGCCATGAGCGCGCGCAGTAGCATAGAATTTGTCAGTCAAGAACAGATGAGGCAGCGCTAGTGGCACCGATCCGGGGGCCGCCACATGCTGTGAGGAAGATGGTTTAGATCATAACGCTGGTTACATACCACAATGACGAGGGAAGGCAGGAACAGCAGAATGGCAGCAGTCAATGAAGAGCAAACTATTACTGATAATTCTATATATAACGGGAGGAGCTCTGCGAGGAAATATAATTTCGTACTCAAAAGATTGAATAGCAATACGGCGGTCTAATCAGTCGAAGCAGAATTATATTAAAGTTTCTAAGTAGTGGTTGTACTTGGAACACTGCAATCTTCAGGTCAAGTTTCCGGCAGTAGGTAAAGGGTAGAAGGCACCTGTGCGAAGAATTTACTGTATATAGAACTCGCAGTTGCAGAGCAGGCTCAAGTGGTCTCCAATTGGTGCATGTACCATCGCCGGAGGGGTGTCGTGTCTAGTGGCCTAGACTGTGTCGGCCGAGGGCGGGGAAAGGGTCGTGTTCAAATGGCTCTTGGGCAACGGCGACTGTCTGGACTAAAGTGTTTGTTGTAGATCAGAGGGGTTATGCATTCCGAGCGATATAATGAAGAAAAGAAGACGAGCTTCGAAAAAATCAAGATGTACTTGTGAATTTTCGAGCTCGTGACACGTGCTCTTCATCAGACGAAATGAAAGAAAGTGAGGGAGGATGATTACAATAGACAGGTTAAGCGATCAGAACAGTTAGATCAGTGGTGTGTGAGGTGAGTCATGGTTTGTGCACCCGCGTGTTTGTGGGCCGTGAGCGGTTGGGAGGGGAAGGGCGGATAGTGGGTCGGTAGATGTGGCGGTGACACTGCGTGTTTGTGGTCGGCGTGCTATTGGAAGGGGGAGGGCGGGTGACGGGTCGGTAGATGTGGATGTGACCGGGTTAGCGGTCGTCGATGCGTGAATGGGACGGGGCACGGTAAGTTTGGATCTTAAGCCACCATATTTCTCGTTCAACTCGACGTGCCGGTTGATACTGCCCGCCGTAGATTACCAAGCCTCGAGGAATTCGCGCGCTGGTCTTGTGTTGGCCGTGGCGACGAAAGTCTGTTTGTCCGAATGAAATGCGGTTGAATGTCCGCAGGCCAACGTCTGTCTAGTCTACCAGTCGCCTTACGGCTTCTGGCGGGGCGAAGAGTGACTTTCGGTAGCGACTAGTGACCGTTAAGGTGCATGCACCGCAAACAAGGAAATGGAAGCACTCATACGGCTTCACTACTAGAAAGAATTAAACTACCAATGTACAGTTCGCATCATTTACTGAATTAAAGCTTGGTCCAGCCATCCCATGGTACGTCTTTAGTCACAACGTATGTTCTAACATCGTGCGACTATTCAAACAATCAATACAGCACGCTAATAC